ATAGGTATTTAATACGATAATAAAATTATTAAAAGAATAAATATAAAAAATCAACCTTCATTATGATCTTTAATAAACAGTTAAAATGTACATGTTGACCGTCTTAATTATGTTGTACAACCATCCAAAATCAGGCTTAGTGATATCTTCTTCCACAACATAGGAGGATCGACAACTTCATCTCAAGCTATTAACATCAAGTGTAGCTCTGCGGTACCATGTCAAAATGTTCATCTCCACAACATCAATTTGATTGGTTTAAAAGGACCATTATCTGCTTCATGCATTAATGCCAAGATAAACTTCTTTGGACTACAAGTACCAACTTTGAAGTGCTAAGTTTAATTAATTATATTTTTACGTATTTTTGTTATTCAATTACCTGATCTTATTGTTCAGGATGGTGGAATAGAAGTTCAAATTTTAGTAATTTTGAAAGAGCATACTTCCCTATATATTATCTTCTAATCTACAATACAAAATAATTAATCATTCTTGTAATTAAATGGAAATAATTTTTCTTAATTTGTAGACACCAAAATCATGTCTCCCTAACTAACACTTAATAATTGCACCAATTATTTTAATTGGTCCAAATTTTAGTATGAGTGGATATATTGATAATATTAGCCTTCATTTTGACCCCTCTAAACCCAAATACACCATTCATAGCACAACACAATTTCTAAGTTGTCAAAACCGACCCCAAAACACAAACCAAAATGACTCAAAACCACAAAATTTTGATTCGAAACCCTCAATGCAAATTGCAACATGCACTAAGCTTTGGACGACTATGATAGAGCATGCATGCCTAGCAAATTAAACAGTTAGTATGCTAAATGTAGATTCCTATGCCCAACACAACACCTTGTGTTGAGCATGTGCAATAATAATGTTGGTAACTAGCGCAAATTCTAGGCAATCAATCTCTACCTGCTTATAAAAATACATCTTATTTCACAAATGGAAAGAAAGGAAGAACATTTTATATGAACCCTAAACTCTGGAATAAATTTAAAACTCTTCATATATTAATTTAATAATAAAAAAAAGTTTGGATAATTAATCATTATTTAGTCTCTCTTTCAAAGTTTAATCAAAATCACTCATGCAAACAAAATTGACGCTTAATATAAAAACTGATGATGACCTAAGTAGTTTTAATCCTTTATTAAATCTAGTTGTTTTGGAAAATGATCTAATGATGTTTCTAGAATTCGAAGGAGACATGTCCTCTTAAAACTAAGAACAGTTTTTACTTCATGTAAGGGGTTGGGGTGCCCTATAAGGTCTCCTCCTTCAATCCAATCTCCTTTAAAGGGGCAGGTTTTGTTGATATTGAAATCCTCAATTGTTTGGGAGACATGTACTAAAGATAAAATGAATCCAATTTTAGGCAAGGTTTGGAAAAACACATAATCCCTAATTACATTGGCCTCAACTTGTTCAAATAAATCAAAATGTGCAAGAGGAATATGCATGGTAAAAGGCGTGAGTTTTCCTTTTAACCCTTTTGGAATGATCGTCCACTTTAGCTCTATTTGAACAAGAGATAGATTCCGGAGACAGGGTATTGAAAAATTGTTCAAAGACGAAAATCCTTCAAGTACTAATACACCTTTACTAATTCTTCTCAATTTTATTTCACTACTAAGCAAAATGTGCAATGTGAAACCTAATTAGTACGAAATACTTAGTTTGTTTTACTCACAAGAGAACTATTTTATTCTCAAAAGATCACATTGTCATAACAACATCATATCATTATTGATTGATTTGAGTTTATAATGAATTGGTTCTTTTGAACCTTTCGTGTGATCAAACAACAACTTTTTATAAAAAAAAAAAATTAATTCAACAAAGATCATATGAACACAAATAATAAAAGAAACTGATTAGTGTTTAGGAAACTTATCACTTCTACTTGCTAAAGTGTCGCTTGCATTCCTATTTAGCTCTTCCTACTCCAAATTCTCCAGCGAATTGGGGTTGTTTGTAATTAAGGAAGCTAAAATATTGTGTATATAGATAGTAGAAAGAAGAATGATAAAGGATAGTGTTTGAAGAAATGTTATTTCAAAGATCTCAACTCTATTGAAATTGTAATATCGTAATTTTATATGTATTATAAAAAATTATGTATTTATAAAATATATTTCTAGAATTTATAATATTAATTTTAATCAAAAAGGATAAATACTTATTAAATAGTTTCTAATTATATAAATATTAGTTTGAAAAAAGGAATTTAATTAGTAAAACCTATAGTTTCTAAAAGAGTTTTAAAACAAGGGTAAAAGTGGAATTTCCATTATTAATGGCGTTTTTGTAATTGCCCGAAATATGATTTTTAAGAATCCTATATATATCCTAAATTCATAAAAAAGGAACCATTATTTTTCCTCCCCAAATCAATTGAAGGTGTTCATTAAAAAAAATCAAAACTCTAAACCCTTAATTCCATCTTTCTCATTACGCACATCGGCTGGCACAAGATCGATTAACAAACTGTCACTAGCCAAAACCAGCAACAACATCCCCGTCGAGCTGGTGACTCTTTCCCCTCTTTTTGGTTTTTGTTGTTTTGTTCATAAAAAAAAAAGTTCTCCTTTTTAAAATTTAATTTATCTTTTAAATTATGATTAATATCATGATTTTTAGATGTTTGATGCATATTTTAATTATATATAAGTAGTATTACTTTTTAGATTTTATTATGATTAAAATCTTGCCAACTAATTAAAACCCTAGGTGTTCAATTTGTTGTTTTTTGCCTAAGGATTTATATTATGCTAATCTATTATTTTAATTGATGTTAGAGTATGAAAACATGAGTTCAAAATTTAATTATATTGCTGGAATTTTTATACAAGCTTTATTGTTAAGTTTTTATAAAAGGAACTTAATAGCCTACAGCGGTTTTGTGTGTGGTGTGGCCAGCTAACACACAAGTAACCTATGACCAAGTAACCATAGACTAACCTTGTAACCCTTGACCAGCCTAGTAACCCCTGACCAAGTAACCAGGCCCGTATTTGAACCAGGGCAGGTAGGGCGGCTTCTCAAGGCCCCAATTTTATACAACATTACTTTAAAAAAGAAAAAGAAAAGAAAATTATGTACAACCGTATGAACTATGAATGCGTTAATATGCTTGATTTGTTAACTTTGGGAAGTTAGGAATTAACTCCTTTAATCTTGAGAAGTTGGAAATCAACTCCTTTAATCTTGGGAGGTTGAATATTCCAAAAACATTAGATTAACTACTACTTTAAAAGGCTAAAATCTTCATTCAATATCAATCCTTTCCATTATTGTTTTAATTTTTTCAATTTAATATCAATTCTTCTACTCTATCCTGATTTGATATCTAATTCCGGTAAAATTTCTATATAGTTCTTAAGTTGTTCCTAATTTGTGTTCTTCAGTTCTTTCAGTTTTTTATTTTTTATTTTTTATTTTTTTATTTATATTTTTGTATTAATTCGGTGTTACAATGATTTTCGAAATTACAATTTTATACGAATCAATTTTTCATGAAGATTATATAAATTATTTTGTGGTTAGATGTAGGTTTTCTATTTTAATATAAATTTTCGTTTGAGTTATTCTATTGTTAAATGAAGATAGTCTTAATTATTTAAATTGATGAATTGTTTTTAGATTTTATTTTCATATTAATCTTCTCTTTTTTTCCAGTAGTTCATGAGTAGTTTTATTTAAAAATAAATAATAGTCAGTTAGTGTAGGCATCATTCGAAGCGCGCCTACATAAAAGCATATTGTGAATATGCTTGACACTCATAGGAAGTGGGAATTGACATATACGATTAGAGACAACGATTAGGGACAAGGAAAGTAGGAAGCCGCCAACAAGTTTTTAAGGAACTTGTAAACTGTTCACGGATCATAAAAGGCAACCACGGTTAAGGGACAACGAAAGGCAACAACGATTGACCCGTGAAGGTTACACCCCATTCATAATCCAAGAGATTACTAACTCCATGTGGTTGGGAACCACGAAAGGAGGATCGGGGATGATGGTACGAAGTGAGTCATGGAGTCACATTTGCCTGTATTGGCCTCTACTCAATTCTTATTGCGAAAAGTATTTCCAATGATCTCAAAGGCATGCAAACAAAGATCTAATTTGCTCAAAACTAATATTACGCTGAATTGGTTGAATATTAATGCAACACATAATTCCAATTATTAGTGATCACTTCGATTAAACAACAAGATTAAAAAGGAACTTAAACCGGCCGTCCAAATTATCTTATTAGGCGTTATCTTCAATTACATATTCCCTTAAAATATGCAATATAGTGATCAACAATAAACAATAGAATAAACATCGACATTGGAAGCAGTTTAACCATAACATTGTTAGTCAAATCAAATTATAATAATAACCCTAATCATGATACTAGCAATAAAGAATAAAAATAAGAGTAATTAAGTGATTAATTACTCACTTTTTGAGTTTCCTTGAATTGCTATATTATGAATAAATTGTTAGTAACTTATAAAAATATAAATCAATTAAATTAAATAAAAAGTAGAGTTGATTTGGTCCAAACCCTCAGTTAATTCTACCTTTCAAACCTTGGTTTAAGTATAAAACTTCGGGTCAAGTATAGACTCCTTGGAGTGCTTAGGAAAAGTATTATGAGAGAATAGGGTGGCTAGTGTTTAGGCTAGAGCATAAGAGAGAAAGATAATGATTTTTTGGTCCCTCGAAATTGGAAAAATCAGGTTTGTATTTATAGAGAAAACGTGAGGGGTGAAGCACGAAACCCTAGAAATTAAAAGGCGCCGCGAAGAAACCCTAGAAAAATGTCGCGTCACGGCATGTGTGCCGCAACACGGCGCAAGATACCGTGACACGGTGCAAAATACCGCGACACGGCGCGGAATACCGTGACGCGGTGTGTCTGCCGTGACACGGTGCACATATTTTCCTGAAAACAGTCCAGATTCATTTTATTCATTGCTTAATGACAAAGAACGTGATATTTTATGCGTCGTTTCAGCTATTCAAGATTAATTTCAGGCCTAAGGTATTTATTATTTATTAATCGGGCTTAATTAATAAATATCACGAAATGAATTAAAAGGGTTTGGGCTAGGATATGAGTTGGAATGAGTTTGAATAAATGGTTTGACTAATTTGTTAACTGGATAAGTTTGACTGAACATGGGTTTTAAGCACTCCCGAGATTAAATATTTGACCCGACCAATAATGGCAGTGAAAGGTTGTTCATCATTGGGTTTGGTTTTGGGGAGACATTTCCAGGTGTCTACAGTTAGTTTTAAATATAAATTGTATAATATATTTAAACATTGGTAACAAATTTATTGATTATAGATTCATAGATGATGATATTCATGAGTTTTAATAAAATTGATTTTAGTCTAATAGTTTTTTTGTTTACATGGATAATCTGTTTATTATTAGAAATATGAATTGTATAGGAAATAATAAGATTTTTGTTTTTTGTTTTTTGTAAGAAATAATAGTGCTTTATTAATTTAAGGATAAAGTATCCGAGAGTACATAAGGAGAAATCTCACATGGGACGTGATTTGCCCAAACTTGCTCTACACCAAAGAGCACTAATCTAGCTAAGTGGTGCGCTATAAAGTTCCTTCCCTTCTTACATGAGACCAAGAAACAAACTCAAAGTGAGAAACTAAGTCTAAAACATCATCTAAAATATTATCTAGGTCCGCTAAAAACGTTGATGCTTTGTCAAGAAGGTTGATCACCACTTTAGTGTTCGATTCAATCATCACCTCTTTTAGCCTAAAACGTTTCCCAAGCTTAATTCCAAACTGAATAGCCATACATTCAGCAATTGCAGGCATCCAGAAGCCTCCCACACGTCTTGTTCCAACAAAGATAACATTCCCACTAGCATTTCTAGCTACTGAACCAAGTCCCACCCAACCTCCATCAATTATGGTTGTTTCGGGGTTTTCTGAGGTGTCCTGCGGGAGAGTTACAACAGCGAGAATGCACGCTTGACTTTTGTTCCTTCAAAACCACGAAACTCCGGTTGGGTGGAGTTCTTCCTCCGAAGATCAAGTTAGTATGATTACGGATTAGATTATGCGCGGAAAGTAAACGGGTATTACTCTCGGATTCCGGGAGATTCCGCAATTAATATTGCTCGGGTTTGGTGTCCGTATTTCTGAATGCCAATAAATGAAGATGATTCCTCTATTTATAGCAGATGAAGATCTGCTCCCCCATTGGGGGTAAAATTCCACGTGGCATCCATTGATTGGATGCCAATGGTGCTATAAGGAGGTGACACGTGTCAGACTCTCATTGGGCCACGTGTCTAGAGTAATTTTTACCCTAAACATTTGCCCCTCACAGGTGCTGACGTGGCTATGCCACGCGGCGCTTGTGACACGTGTCAACAGGTAGGAGGGCGACGGTTCGCCTCCTTCCCTCTATTTTTTCAAATTTCACACTAAGGGGGAAGAGAAGGTGACGGTTCACCTTCTGAGATTTTCTATAAATAGGGATCTCCCTCCTTTCATTCCTCACTTTGCCATTTTTGAGAGAAATTTCTTGAGAGAAAAAGAGAGAGCTCCTGACCCCGCCTGGTTGCTCGTGCAAACAACCTTTAACATCGATACATCCGGATACCGTTTGTGTTTCGTAGCCTGTCTCACTAAGGTATCCTTCTGACTTAGTCAGTTTATTTGGATGTTCGATTATGCTGCAGCCGGCCTATGCCGTCTGGCGCTTCTTTAGGCAATTTTTCTGATGAATTGCATCTATTTAGAATCTCATCCGGTTTAAACCGTCTGAGGTATCTTCAAGCAATCTCATTTGTGAGTTGCATTCAATAGATCCTCAGTCGGTTTAAACCGTCTGGGGTATTTTCAAGCAATCTCATTGGTGAGTTGCATTCAAAAGACCCTCAGCCGGTTTACACCGTCTGGTGTATCTTCAAGCAATCTCATTGGTGAGTTGCATTCAAAAGACCCTCAGCCGGTTTACACCGTCTGGGGTATCTTCAAGCAATCTTATTGGTGAGTTGCATTTAAAAGACCCTCAGCCGGTTTACACCGTCTGGGGTATCTTTAATAACTTTCTTTTGAACTGCTTTGCTGTTCCCTTAGCCGGTATCATACCGTCTGGGGTATGAGCAAGCAGTCCCTTTCTGAGCTACATTTCTGGCACCCGAACCGGCCTCACGTCGTCTGGGGTATTTGCGAACAGCCTCTGGATTTATTGTTTTAACGGATACACAACCGGCCATCTGCCGCCTGTTGTAGTTTCGTTCAATTCTTTTTGCAAGCTGTCTGTTGATGAACCTCAGCCGGTATATACCGTCTAAGGGGTCTTTGGACAACCTCTAACAAAATCTCTAGACTACTTGTTCTTTATATCTACCACAACCGGCTTTTCCCGCCTGTGGTATCTTTGGGCAACATTAGTGATTAATTTTTCTTTCTTTTGCCAATTTGCAGTCTGCTCAAAGTGATACCGTCTGGGGTATCGTTGGTCAACAAACTTTCGTCTCCTTTCTCTAAACTTTTCTTCAATTATTATTTTTTTTTTTTTTTTTTTTTTTTTTTTTGCAAAATCTTTTAGTAAACTATTTATACCGTATGATTTTTTCTTTCCCGTTTAACAATCATATTCCATATATACCCAAATGAAATATTTATGAATATCTTTTACTTTATACTTGTATTTTGTAATATTATTGTCAAAAATATTAAACAACCGTGCATTGCACGTGATTTTAACCTAGCTATATACTAAAGGCGAAACCTGGAATGATACTTGTCATTTCCTGGTTAATAATTTTCCCGCCCTTTTTTTATTTTTTTTGCCATATTTTAATGACATTTATTTTATAACCTACAATAATAGTTGTTTCCATTTTGACAATATCTTTAATCCAATTATACTCATTTTTTACGTATATTTTATATACTATGAAACTTTTAGTTACAAAAATAGTAACATAGATTAAATATAAGGTATTGTAATATATTATTTTCCAAGGTTATTATAATATTATCAATATCAATTTATTTCTCCAACTTTTATCATTCGATAATAAAATTTATTTTAATTAAAAAAAATATCATTTTGGTAGCATACTTTCTATAAATCATAAAATTACATAACGTTTATAAGAACAAAATCATTTTGTTATAGTATACATAACATATATTGGAATATTTAATCTAATGACTCGAAATATTTATGTGATTATTTAAAAAATAATAACCCTTACTACTCACTCTAAAAACATATTTAAAAAATTGATTACGGAATACTAATTATTCTAAAGTAAAATAAAATCAACCAAATTTTCATATTATGCTGGTCAAAGTGTGTCAATAATTTAAGGATAGATGTATATGAGTTCATATATGGGTACTAATCTTTATGTATTTGGTATTGGTATAAACTAAAATTGAAGTTATTTGTTACAAATAATTATTTTAGATTAATTATTGTTGAATTAACACCATTATTTATAATTTATTTGTTGTTTAATTTAATTATGACCGTGCATGGAACAGGACTTAACCTAGTTTTCAAATATCAAATTTTAATGTGAGTAGTTAAAGTGTAACATTAATATTAATTGATTTATTCCTTATATTATAAAATGGAAGGAATACCATTTTTAGAAAAATCCTACTATTTTATCTACTTCATTACCCCCTTTATTATATTTACTTTCTTCTTATTTTATCTTTCATGATATTGAAGTTATATAATAAACATTTTATAATTTGTAGCAAAATTTTTCTTCACTTTTGGTTTTGTAGTCAATTGTTCTTAAAGGCGTTACAAATGCATCCATTAGAAGGATTACAAGCTTAAACCCTATGGGATTCCACTTCTTCATCACCACAAGCAAGTTTATTAGATTACAAAGGCTTCATATAACAACTCCAAAAGATAGTCCTAATACTGATGGTATCCAGATCAGCTCTTCAGACCAAGTGAGGGTCTCACGATCACGTATTGAGACGGGTGATGATTGCATAGGTATCCTACAAGGATCAACTCGACTTTCCATCAACAAAGTAACATGTGGTCCTGGCCATGGCATAAGGTATAACATTCGTTATAAAACATTTTACGTTTTTACTATTAAAAAAAACTAATTTAAGTTCTCCTAACACATGCTACCAAGTAATGCACAAGAATTTAATTAGTTAATCAATTTTCTTCTTTATAATTTTATGGGATTTCTGTTTCAAATAGAAAGTAAAAAGATTTTTTTTTTTCATCTAAAAATTTCCCAACACCTCACTCGTTGATCGCACTTACAAACACATTTATACTCCCATTCAAAATAACAAAGATATACATTTTATCATCCCTTCTTCTTTAGTTTTTAATGCTAAATTATATTAGAAAAAGTTTAATAATTTAGGTAATATGAAAGATTTAAGTACTCCTTCCATTCCTTGTTGATGTTCTTATATTCCATTGTGGGCTTTTCAACAACTTTTTAGTTTTTCTTTCCTTCTAGAATTTTTTTCCTTCAACTTCAAAGTTTTACTACAATAAAATTTCTCATTGTACCCCAATAAATTTCATGTGCATCCATCTAATTGTATTTTTTTCCATTGATTTTTCTATTAATAATTTCACATTACACATTCCACTTCATTTATGCTTGTCATATATTTCGTCCACATCTCTTTTGTCCATAACTAACTATATCTCTACATTTCCTCTGAATTTCTTCATTTTCTTCCTTCTTCCGACGAGCAAAGAACCCTAAAAATTGTCTCTTTCTCCTCAAATCTAGGGTTTATCATGGAACTGTTTTTGTGAAATTTTCGTTTTTTGCATTACAAACACCATAAGACCAAAAGCCCCTTATCAATTTTTAAAAAATATGAATTTCTTCTGTTGTCCATTTCCCTTCTCTTCTTGTTTTGGCAGATCTAGTCAAAGGATTAAACATAGAGATTATGTTGAATTTGGCATACAAAAAACTTGGTTTGGGTGTATTTCCCTTGAACACATTTTATCTCCCTAATTTTCAAAGATCTTCAAATTAAATTCTTTTGTATGAATATAAGTGACAATTGTCTCTCTCCTCCAATCTTCATAAACAATATATTTTGGAGTTTAAATTTTCGAAGATCTTTAAACACGTTTTCTCTCTCCTCCAACCATTATGATTTTAAGAAATTTTGGTATTTAGATTTTTTGTATATATTAGAGTAATCTATTCGATCTAATCCATTGGTTGGATAAGTGAATTCTTTTATATGATTAGCTAATTACATTTACAAGGATTGAGTTTGAAACTATAAAGTCTCTCTATAAAATCTGGCAAAACTGTGTGAGTTTGAAAAAAATAAAAAAAACAAAAGTGAACATATTACAAAGAACCAGCTTAAAAGAGTATGTACTTCATTTAATGCTTAAGAAGAGTACATAAAAGATTCCAAATATGAAGATAAATAAGGAATAGAGGGATTACTATATAATTAATAATATAAACTTGAGAATGCACACCCTTCAATATTCTTATTGGTGATTATTCAATCAAAAAAGATTCTCTTAATATGTACCGATTGAAAGATTTTACAAACAAAATCTTTTACAAGCTTACACTTAATTCATTTCTACTTAACATAAACTTCTTCATGATTTTACAATAGTCTACAAAGTAGGCACAACAGTGTTTAAAAAGTGTGGAGTTTCTTACTATTTAAACTTGATTTACCCTATAAAATCAATAAGAAATAGTCACTTCCTTACTATTTCAAAATCACTTTCTAGTATAAACTAGAATACATATGTCAAAATTTTTTTAAGGGATAATCTTGTTTACCTCCAACCTAGAAGTTTAGAAAAGTAGTAAAATTTTGATTAAAATAATCTCCTTTGCAAAACATCATTAGGTCACCAATAAATGTTTAATGATTAATTAAGTTTGAGATAAACACACTGATATTTAGTTATCATGGCTAGTTATTTACTAATTTTAATTAAAATTTTGCTAAAAACTTTCTGAAAATCACAAATAATAGAGGAAAAAAAAAGGGGTGTCCTTAATTTTCAAGCCTTTTACTCTAAACCTCATGCAAATTTCTATTCAAAGAAATATAGAAAGTAACATAGTTGTGATATAAGAAGTGACTTATCTAACATTTTTAAAAATAGATTTAAGATTATCATTAGTTCAAAAACACCAAATTGACAATATCATTAAATTTTATCAAATATATCTTCATCAAAACCCTATCATAAATTTTTTATATCTTGTAATCATTGATGATGATGTCTTGAAAAACATGGCATCCATTATCATTGGGTATAAGCAATAAAGACACATTGACTCATAACAATAAAACTCAAGATGACTTATCTAAGCATATGCCACAAAGGACGTGCATTTGTAGATCATATTGCAACTAATAATTAATCTTAAATAAGAGATATTATTAAGGGGTTCATTTAGGATTGGAAGATAAACACGCATTCATGTGGCATGAATTTCTTCTAAATTAATCTAATACATTATGTATGTTACCCAAGTTAAAAAATAATGTTCCTCGATCACATTTTAATAAGCCTTTAAATTTTTACCAATGCAATAAGAAAGAATAAACCCTGTAACTATGGATTTTGACAATGAAAAATAACAAACTCCTTGAAAAATTTGCATGTTCACATTCTCTTTTCTTATATGATGTGAAAATCTTGTTAATTTTTGTGATACTTAATATATAAAAACATTTATCACTAATGCATCCAAATAAATAATTTATTGAACCTTATATTAGGCATTATTAAATAGACTTAATTCTTAGCTTTTTTAACTTAATAGAAGTAATAAAGCATTAAAGATTTTTTTGTGGATATTTGTAATTTTTGTCAAGATACTTAATATAACTAAATGTTTTCAAGTACTGATAGTTAATTTCAACCACTCTTTCATTTCAGTGTGATAAGGATATGCATAAAGTTATCCTTAACAAAATGATAACTTCTAATAAAATGTAATTTCAGCCTTCCTTTTAATCTCACTAAATAATTTTTCATCCAAATGCTTCAAAGATTCAATCATTTGACACACATCATATTTGTTAAATCTTGATATATACATTTCATTACCTCTTCACGTAGTCGTCTAACCTTTCATATTACACAACATATTGAATAGAAAAAATGTGTTATCTAATTTTGATATCGTCGTATAAGTAAATAATATAAGAAACTTCATCACACAAACCCTTTGATAAATAATATTCCATCATTGAATAGGGAAAATCATTAACAAATGAATTCACAATTACTTTGTCAAATTTTCATAAGATCCTAGGTCACCTTAGTTTTTATTGTTTCAAATAAAGACAAGTTAGAGAGTTTAGTTTCAATCAAACTAACATTAGAATCACAAGATTTATAATTTTAAAAATTGCAAAGATCACTAGGTTCCTTATTATTGTTAAGTCACCCCAACCTAATGATCATTACAACCAATGGTAACAATCCAGTAACAGTTCATATGTTAGTACCCACAAACTATTACCTTCTAGAGCATAAATCAACATTTAGATAGTTTTACCATAAACATATTATGATTGACATGCATATGAGCAATTTAAAAAGTAACAAGCAACAAATAATTATATGTGTGAACACATTACATTGGCATGCAACTAAATTAACAAATGTTTCCATAATGATAAGCGTAATTAACAACCAAACTTTGGCCACTAACATAATGAAAAAAAATTGGATCTAACTCTAGTCACATAGGCCAAGTAAACTCTCATTACAAAATAAATGCCAATCAAAACCAATATTTAGATTTTTCTGGCAATTTAATTAACAATCATTTTTTATTCCACAATTCATGGATAGAGAAACTATAGATTTACAATTCAAAATAGATTTTTACACAATAGTATCTATATATCGGGTGTAATATAGAACATAATTGAAATTCAAGGATAAAGAACTACCAGATCTATTAAACAATAGATGGAGGTTCACTTTATTAGAAATTGGTAAAATATAAGGAAACATTATAGGGTTAGGAAGAGAAATGAATAACATATGTACTTTCTAGAAAGAGTAGTGTATGGAAAAGTGTGTGGATTAAAGGTGTAACGTAAGATATTAGTTTCATTCACTTAGAGGAAAAGTGTGATAAAATAATATTAAAAAGATATGTGAGTAAGGGAACATATAAATGAAGAAAGCAATTTCGGGACAAGGAACGTAATTGGGAAGTCAATAATATGTAGATAAGGTTGGTGAAACCAAACAACTACGAATTTCATATATGTAAATTAATAATTTCCAAGATAAATCTTTATACAGTAAATTTTTAATTTTATAACTTTAAAGGCCTAAACAATTTCTTATGTTGTAAGATATATACTTGGTCATCATTGTTTATGAAGCTAAAATAAAGAATAATTTGAATCACAAAATAACATACAGTGGCGGAGCAAGAATTTTTTTTTTAATAGGAGAGCCAAACATAATATATGTTAATTAATATTTTGTGCACAAAATAATATGTGGTATATTGAAATGACAAGAATAAGTGTTAGTGGGCACTTTAAATTTAGAAGATAAGTAGTAAAATGTACTCAATTTTTAACCAAAACCAACTAAGCTACATGCAACTAACATCATAATCAAGGAGAGTCTAAGGCCCGCCTCAACCCCCTTGTTCCACCACTAATAACATGATCATATATATTTTCTCAAAAACAATATAGTCATATTTATTTCAATTTTTAAATTTGATAGTAAAAAAATTCCATGTAAGTTCATTTTAGATTTCTGAATTTAAATAAGTTAATCTAAAACTAAATAATTTTCAACTTTAAAGATACGATAAAACATCACACGTTTTTAAAAATATATATATATATATATATATATATATATATATATGTGTGTGTGTGTGTGTGTGTGTGTGTAGATTAATGCTAACCAAATTAAAAAATTTAGAATACCTCTTGTGATATCAGATCATCTATGGTTTTTTCACCATATACCCTTGAGTAATTCATTAATTTACTATATACTCATGAAACTTTTCAAATTCACCATATACTTCTAAGTTTAACAAATATGTCACCAATTGCCCTTAATGACTAATGGTGTTAACCTCCATTAGTCATTAAGATTAAGTATGCCATGTGACATCTTCTGATTGGTTGTTTTTTAAAGTCTATTTATTTAATTACTAAAAAAAGTAAAAGTTAAAAATTATAAAAACCAACCTAAACCCTTGCCACCCTCCCCACTCCACCACCACCACCCCCGCCCAGCCCCCTCCCCTAGTGTCGGGTGGACCCCTCCCTCTTTCAATGTCGCGACGGAGCCCCTCCCCCTTCCCCTTAAACCACCATACCCCCACCCTGACCTCCTACGAAACCCCCTAGAAAAACTTGACCCAAACCCCTAAAACCTCCAAATCGCCCCTCCCCCCACCCTCGCCCAAACCCTCTCCTGTGCACTGGCCAAACTCAATCGCCCCTCCCCTTACCATCTACACCACTCCCCCCCTCCCCCCTTCCCTTGGAAACAACACACCAAAACCCTAAAACCAAAATCTAGGGTTTTGACTTTGAGGTTTTAGGGTTTCAAGGTGGTGGTTTTCGGGTAATATGGGCGGTGGCGAAGAAGGGGAGGGTAGTTTGGGCCGCCGGCGATAGGATTTTGGGGTGGTGGTTTTCGGCTATGGTGGAAGGGCTAAGGGAGGAGTTTTTTAAGAGTTAAAGGCGAGAAATTCGAGCTGGGGTATGGTGATTCATGGGAAGGGTTTAAGGGTTAGCTTTTTCATCCAATTTAATGATGTTTTACAAGTTTTATGTTACCTTAAGAAGTATTGCAAAAGCTAGGGATAAGAAAATCACATAAAACACAAGTAATTTTTTTTTTTTTTTTTTTTTGACAATGGAGAAAAAAAAAAGGTTAAATATGGTACAATTTCCCTAAAAATATCAAATTTTTGTAAATTTTACTTATTGATAATTAAAGATATTTATGGTTTAATTTTTTTTCATCGACACACTTAAATAATATAAAAAAAATAACATATCAACTAGTTTGGAACAACAGAAATATATACTTCCTCTATTTTTTTTATTGCACCATGAGTGATTCACGCTTGCCAATGCATTACTTCAGCTATCAATATCTTTAATTATACTTTTGTACAAAATTATAAAAATTTGATATTTGAAAAGTAGATTTCGAGACAAATCTAACTAGATGCTACAAGATTATGTTTTTCCTTACGGATAAATCACAAAAGATGGTCAAAGAAGATTATGTGAGCAGTGTAAAGTCCTTATGGTGCAATAAAAGAAAAATGGAGGAAGTATGTAAGTTAGTATACAGTTAGTTTAGTAAAAAACATAACACATCATCTGAATATTGTACAAAATATTAAATCGCTTTTTAGTAATTTCTATTTTGAAAACGACTAAAATTAGCAATTTAATGAGTAATAAATCTTAAGTCCAAAGTTTTTTTTAGGCCTTTTTATTTTTGTTTTATATTTTTATCCATGTTTATAAGATCGGTAAATCATATCATTTCTTCAATATTTATTAAATAGGTTATTTGAAAAAACTTTGAAAACTATAAATCCTTCTGAAATCCCAATACATTCGATTTCATCCCTTAACTTTTAGATCAATCATACATCGAAAAAAAATTTACATGTTATTATGAGAAACATTCTTTGATGGAAACGTTTAACATATTTTTCTTAAATAATAGTGTTGGTAGTCTTGGCAAGAATGAGGATGAAGAGGATGCCAAAGGTGTCCAAGTAAAAAATTGCACGCTTCGTGGTACAACCAACGGTATCAGGATCAAAACTTTTCCTTTCAAGCCTAATGTCATTCCAATCAAAGCTTTTGGATTTCTTTTCAAGGATATTGTTATGAAAAGTGTTCAAAATCCTATTATTATAGATCAAGAGTATTGCGGAGGAGGCCATTCTTGTGTGAACGGGGTAAGCATCACTACTTTATCAGTTATTAATATATATCCTTTAATATTAAAAATCGAAAAAAAATATAAGTATATAACTAATGTAGTCCTATATTATAAATATGACTATTACCCTTAGGTCTATAATAATCTTCTAAAATTAAGTTTGGAAAAACTAGTACAGTAGTCAATAGGTATTTAATACGATAATAAAATTATTAAAAGAATAAATATAAAAAATCAACCTTCATTATGATCTTTAATAAACAGTTAAAATGTACATGTTGACCGTCTTAATTATGTTGTACAACCATCCAAAATCAGGCTTAGTGATATCTTCTTCCACAACATAGGAGGATCGACAACTTCATCTCAAGCTATTAACATCAAGTGTAGCTCTGCGGTACCATGTCAAAATGTTCATCTCCACAACATCAATTTGATTGGTTTAAAAGGACCATTATCTGCTTCATGCATTAATGCCAAGATAAACTTCTTTGGACTACAAGTACCAACTTTGAAGTGCTAAGTTTAATTAATTATATTTTTACGTATTTTTGTTATTCAATTACCTGATCTTATTGTTCAGGATGGTGGAATAGAAGTTCAAATTTTAGTAATTTTGAAAGAGCATACTTCCCTATATATTATCTTCTAATCTACAATACAAAATAATTAATCATTCTTGTAATTAAATGGAAATAATTTTTCTTAATTTGTAGACACCAAAATCATGTCTCCCTAACTAACACTTAATAATTGCACCAATTATTTTAATTGGTCCAAATTTTAGTATGAGTGGATATATTGATAATATTAGCCTTCATTTTGACCCCTCTAAACCCAAATACACCATTCATAGCACAACACAATTTCTAAGTTGTCAAAACCGACCCCAAAACACAAACCAAAATGACTCAAAACCACAAAATTTTGATTCGAAACCCTCAATGCAAATTGCAACATGCACTAAGCTTTGGACGACTATGATAGAGCATGCATGCCTAGCAAATTAAACAGTTAGTATGCTAAATGTAGATTCCTATGCCCAACACAACACCTTGTGTTGAGCATGTGCAATAATAATGTTGGTAACTAGCGCAAATTCTAGGCAATCAATCTCTACCTGCTTATAAAAATACATCTTATTTCACAAATGGAAAGAAAGGAAGAACATTTTATATGAACCCTAAACTCTGGAATAAATTTAAAACTCTTCATATATTAATTTAATAATAAAAAAAAGTTTGGATAATTAATCATTATTTAGTCTCTCTTTCAAAGTTTAATCAAAATCACTCATGCAAACAAAATTGACGCTTAATATAAAAACTGATGATGACCTAAGTAGTTTTAATCCTTTATTAAATCTAGTTGTTTTGGAAAATGATCTAATGATGTTTCTAGAATTCGAAGGAGACATGTCCTCTTAAAACTAAGAACAGTTTTTACTTCATGTAAGGGGTTGGGGTGCCCTATAAGGTCTCCTCCTTCAATCCAATCTCCTTTAAAGGGGCAGGTTTTGTTGATATTGAAATCCTCAATTGTTTGGGAGACATGTACTAAAGATAAAATGAATCCAATTTTAGGCAAGGTTTGGAAAAACACATAATCCCTAATTACATTGGCCTCAACTTGTTCAAATAAATCAAAATGTGCAAGAGGAATATGCATGGTAAAAGGCGTGAGTTTTCCTTTTAACCCTTTTGGAATGATCGTCCACTTTAGCTCTATTTGAACAAGAGATAGATTCCGGAGACAGGGTATTGAAAAATTGTTCAAAGACGAAAATCCTTCAAGTACTAATACACCTTTACTAATTCTTCTCAATTTTATTTCACTACTAAGCAAAATGTGCAATGTGAAACCTAATTAGTACGAAATACTTAGTTTGTTTTACTCACAAGAGAACTATTTTATTCTCAAAAGATCACATTGTCATAACAACATCATATCATTATTGATTGATTTGAGTTTATAATGAATTGGTTCTTTTGAACCTTTCGTGTGATCAAACAACAACTTTTTATAAAAAAAAAAAATTAATTCAACAAAGATCATATGAACACAAATAATAAAAGAAACTAATTAGTGTTTAGGAAACTTATCACTTCTACTTGCTAAAGTGTCGCTTGCATTCCTATTTAGCTCTTCCTACTCCAAATTCTCCAGCGAATTGGGGTTGTTTGTAATTAAGGAAGCTAAAATATTGTGTATATAGATAGTAGAAAGAAGAATGATAAAGGATAGTGTTTGAAGAAATGTTATTTCAAAGATCTCAACTCTATTGAAATTGTAATATCGTAATTTTATATGTATTATAAAAAATTATGTATTTATAAAATATATTTCTAGAATTTATAATATTAATTTTAATCAAAAAGGATAAATACTTATTAAATAGTTTCTAATTATATAAATATTAGTTTGAAAAAAGGAATTTAATTAGTAAAACCTATAGTTTCTAAAAGAGTTTTAAAACAAGGGTAAAAGTGGAATTTCCATTATTAATGGCGTTTTTGTAATTGCCCGAAATATGATTTTTAAGAATCCTATATATATCCTAAATTCATAAAAAAGGAACCATTATTTTTCCTCCCCAAATCAATTGAAGGTGTTCATTAAAAAAAATCAAAACTCTAAACCCTTAATTCCATCTTTCTCATTACGCACATCGGCTGGCACAAGATCGATTAACAAACTGTCACTAGCCAAAACCAGCAACAACATCCCCGTCGAGCTGGTGACTCTTTCCCCTCTTTTTGGTTTTTGTTGTTTTGTTCATAAAAAAAAAAGTTCTCCTTTTTAAAATTTAATTTATCTTTTAAATTATGATTAATATCATGATTTTTAGATGTTTGATGCATATTTTAATTATATATAAGTAGTATTACTTTTTAGATTTTATTATGATTAAAATCTTGCCAACTAATTAAAACCCTAGGTGTTCAATTTGTTGTTTTTTGCCTAAGGATTTATATTATGCTAATCTATTATTTTAATTGATGTTAGAGTATGAAAACATGAGTTCAAAATTTAATTATATTGCTGGAATTTTTATACAAGCTTTATTGTTAAGTTTTTATAAAAGGAACTTAATAGCCTACAGCGGTTTTGTGTGTGGTGTGGCCAGCTAACACACAAGTAACCTATGACCAAGTAACCATAGACTAACCTTGTAACCCTTGACCAGCCTAGTAACCCCTGACCAAGTAACCAGGCCCGTATTTGAACCAGGGCAGGTAGGGCGGCTTCTCAAGGCCCCAATTTTATACAACATTACTTTAAAAAAGAAAAAGAAAAGAAAATTATGTACAACCGTATGAACTATGAATGCGTTAATATGCTTGATTTGTTAACTTTGGGAAGTTAGGAATTAACTCCTTTAATCTTGAGAAGTTGGAAATCAACTCCTTTAATCTTGGGAGGTTGAATATTCCAAAAACATTAGATTAACTACTACTTTAAAAGGCTAAAATCTTCATTCAATATCAATCCTTTCCATTATTGTTTTAATTTTTTCAATTTAATATCAATTCTTCTACTCTATCCTGATTTGATATCTAATTCCGGTAAAATTTCTATATAGTTCTTAAGTTGTTCCTAATTTGTGTTCTTCAGTTCTTTCAGTTTTTTATTTTTTATTTTTTATTTTTTTATTTATATTTTTGTATTAATTCGGTGTTATGATGATTTTCGAAATTACAATTTTATACGAATCAATTTTTCATGAAGATTATATAAATTATTTTGTGGTTAGATGTAGGTTTTATATTTTAATATAAATTTTCGTTTGAGTTATTCTATTGTTAAATGAAGATAGTCTTAATTATTTAAATTGATGAATTGTTTTTAGATTTTATTTTCATATTAATCTTCTCTTTTTTTCCAGTAGTTCATGAGTAGTTTTATTTAAAAATAAATAATAGTCAGTTAGTGTAGGCATCATTCGAAGCGCGCCTACATAAAAGCATATTGTGAATATGCTTGACACTCATAGGAAGTGGGAATTGACATATACGATTAGAGACAACGATTAGGGACAAGGAAAGTAGGAAGCCGCCAACAAGTTTTTAAGGAACTTGTAAACTGTTCACGGATCATAAAAGGCAACCACGGTTAAGGGACAACGAAAGGCAACAACGATTGACCCGTGAAGGTTACACCCCATTCATAATCCAAGAGATTACTAACTCCATGTGGTTGGGAACCACGAAAGGAGGATCGGGGATGATGGTACGAAGTGAGTCATGGAGTCACATTTGCCTGTATTGGCCTCTACTCGATTCTTATTGCGAAAAGTATTTCCAGTGATCTCAAAGGCATGCAAACAAAGATCTAATTTGCTCAAAACTAATATTACGCTGAATTGGTTGAATATTAATGCAACACATAATTCCAATTATTAGTGATCACTTCGATTAAACAACAAGATTAAAAAGGAACTTAAACCGGCCGTCCAAATTATCTTATTAGGAGTTATCTTCAATTACATATTCCAATATGCAATATAGTGATCAACAATAAACAATAGAATAAACATCAACATTGGAAGCAGTTTAACCATAACATTGTTAGTCAAATCAAATTATAATAATAACCCTAATCATGATACTAGTAATAAAGAATAAAAATAAGAGTAATTAAGTGATTAATTACTCACTTTTTGAGTTTCCTTGAATTGCTATATTATGAATAAATTGTTAGTAACTTATAAAAATATAAATCAATTAAATTAAATAAAAAGTAGAGTTGATTTGGTCCAAACCCTCAGTTAATTCTACCTTTCAAACCTTGGTTTAAGTATAAAACTTCGGGTCAAGTATAGACTCCTTGGAGTGCTTAGGAAAAGTATTATGAGAGAATAGGGTGGCTAGTGTTTAGGCTAGAGCATAAGAGAGAAAGATAATGATTTTTTGGTCCCTCGAAATTGGAAAAATCAGGTTCGTATTTATAGAGAAAACGTGAGGGGTGAAGCACGAAACCCTAGAAATTAAAAGGCGCCGCGAAGAAACCCTAGAAAAATGTCGCGTCACGGCATGTGTGCCGCAACACGGCGCAAGATACCGTGACACGGTGCAAAATACCGCGACACGGCGCGGAATACCGTGACGCGGTGTGTCTGCCGTGACACGGTGCACATATTTTCCTGAAAACAGTCCAGATTCATTTTATTCATTGCTTAATGACTAAGAACGTGATATTTTATGCGCCGTTTCAGCTATTCAAGATTAATTTCAGGCCTAAGGTATTTATTATTTATTAATCGGGCTTAATTAATAAATATCACGAAATGAATTAAAAGGGTTTGGGCTAGGATATGAGTTGGAATGAGTTTGAATAAATGGTTTGACTAATTTGTTAACTGAATAAGTTTGACTGAACATGGGTTTTAAGCACTCCCGAGATTAAATATTTGACCCGACCAATAATGGCAGTGAAAGGTTGTTCATCATTGGGTTTGGTTTTGGGGAGACATTTCCAGGTGTCTACAGTTAGTTTTAAATATAAATTGTATAATATATTTAAACATTGGTAACAAATTTATTGATTATAGATTCATAGATGATGATATTCATGAGTTTTA